ACAGGCCTTTGCAACAGCCCTTAGTAACTATTTATATATATAAATAATGTATGAATATATATAAATTTATAAATCTATATTTATACATATTTATGCCCATAAATATGTACTAATATATATACACACATATATACACACATATATCAATGCTTTTTTTGGCAGAGAGAGAAGAGGTAGAGTAGGAGGGAGAGAAAAAGAGAGAAACAATCTCTTTGACCTCAAGACCTTGGCTTTTCAAATATTCCTGATCATAACTCATTGGAATGGATGCATCAGTGTACGTAGAGTTGGGACTATTAAGTTTGGTGTGTACTATCTTGAAACATCCTCATGGATAACTGGGGAGTACATTAATGGATTACAACCCACAGTTTGAATCACTCTACAGAACAGGAAGTCTTGTGGAGGACTTTAAAAGCATAGGTTCACACATCCCTTAGCCTTTTCTTTTGTTTTGCAAGACATTGCAAAATAGAAGAAATTCAGCTAGCTTCTGATTCCCGTATCTACAGATCACATGGTATATTGTTGGACAATAAACACAGTTTTGTGTGTATGTTTGGTAACTCCAGTGGATTAGACTTGTTGACAAGTAGGATTTCAAAACTGCATCTTAGACAGGGCATGGAAGGAGGGATCATATGTCTCCCATGTCTTTTCAATGAGTACCAGTAAGCAACTTCCTCCATGGATGGGGATCCACATACCTCACAGCCTAGACATGCACTTTGCCTCAGGGCCACTGAACTATGAACAGGATGCTGATAAGCCTTTCCAGTCATGAAGGTTCAGAACTCACAGCACCACCATCGCCACCACCCTTGAAAAGCAGTCTACCCTTGATTCTGCTCTGTGTCCAACTGAGAACAACCAACTTTTCTGGCTCGCTGTTGAACTCTTTCCACAGTAGGAAAGCAAGCATCTGTGGTCATGGGCCCTTCCTCGTGTGCTGCAGAGGCTCTGGGTGTTTCTAACCTCACTTTTTAAAAAAAAATAATTATTTTTTTTTAGATTTATTTACTTAATTTTATGTGCACTGAATGTTTTGCCTGCATGAATTTATGTGTGCCATGCTTGTTCCTGGTGACTTCAGAGTTCAGAAGAGGGCATCTGATGCCCTGGAACTGGAGTTATGGTGGTTGTGAGCCACCATGTGGGTACTGGGAACCAAACATCAAACCTTCGTCCTCTGGAAGAACAAGTACTCTTAACCACTCAGCCAGCTTTCCAGCACCCTCTACCATCACTTTTGATCCTGCCGTTTCTCATACTTAGGATGTCTTCTTCTACCCCCATGAATTCTTGTTTCCTTCCAACTATATTCCAGACTTTCTAAGTCCCCCTTCCTGCATACTTTCCTCCCTGCAAAGCTCACTGAATTCATGCAACCACCTGCTTCCTAGAAACTGTTTATGAATATTTATGAACTGACTTTCTAATATTTCAAAAACACTTCTAAGAAACTTTGGGACTTAATCCCATTTAATGAGTGTTCCCTCATTAAATAAGAAGGTTTAGCATTTTTCATTGCAATACCTAAATCACATAATTATTAAAGATAACACTTTTAAGCTACTTATCTCACATTCTGAGAACTATCGACTATAACGGTGGTAGACCCCAGAACTGCTGGTTCTCCTAACAGTCCGTCATGTGGGAGACATTTGTTTTAGACAACTGAATTCTTACATGAGGAGGGCACCTGGAAGCTCCCCTCCCCCCGCCCCCGGGATACTGGGAGATGCTCTTACGAAAACAGCTCTGCGTTTTGACACAGTTAATCCACGAACTCTGTGTTGGCTACTGCCCTGCAGGAGTCTGGTTCATTCATTGTTCCTGCATTTCTCTCTGTAACACACACACACACACACACACACACACACACACACACACACACACACTCACACCTCTTCCTTTCCCTTTTCTTTGGTTACTTACATCTTGGAAAGAACTTAAAGACAATCTATTCAGTAATTTAATTTACCAAAAAGATGAAATAATGAGCTTCAGATCACTCTATAGAAAACTTTCAAAACATTTGGCGTCAACCCCCAAATCTCTGTCATTAAAGAATTTGGAAGCTAGACACTTAAGACATCACCACCTAGCTCTTCAGTTTCATTTCCCTTTCCCAAACTTCCATCTTCCACCAAATCCCTCTGTCTCACCACCAGAGAACTTCCCCAGATCCTCAGCACCAAAGTGTCTTCTTGTCACTAACCAATTCCCCAGTGCCACTGCGTCTGAATCCCACGACTTCTCATCTTTCTTGGTGATTTCACTGTTTACTCTGGTTTTCCTCTTAGCCAACACCACACCTGTCGAAACCACACAAGTCCTTTCCTTTAAACTCCCCCATTACCATCAGAAAGCTCACATAGGACAGTTAAACCCATGATGGTCGCTACTGCAAAGACCTGCGTTTTTTCCACATGGGTGGGGAGGGACGAACAGAAGCCCCTTCTACCTCTTGTGTTTGATATAGATAAATGTGCTGAGAGAGAAGATAGTGTATCTTGCAGATAAGTAATTTCTCAAGACATGTGGCCAAGCAATAAGTATCCCTACAAACTGAGCAGGAGATGTATCCCAGCTCATTGACTTCAGTCTTGACTGGAAGAATCAAGAGCCGTGCTCCAGGGGGAAGTAACCATAAATGCAGGCCTGTCCTTCCAACGTGCTAAGGGGTCAAAGGAGAAGGCTGGACGGAAACACACCAGCAAACCAGTACAACACATGTAGGCTCAGCAGTTAGCTTTGTTGGTAAAGTGCGTGCCTTGCACACTCGAGGACCCGAGTTTGAGGCACACACTCCATGTTAAAAGGCAGAGCGAGGTGGCGCACACTTGTAACCCTAGTGCTCATGAGAAACAGGTGGATTCCTAAGGCTTGCTGGTCAGCCACTTAGGCGACTCGGTGAGCACCAGGCCAGTGAGAGACTGTCACACAAAACAAAGCGGAGAGCACCTGAGGAATGCCATCTGAGGTTGGCTTCTGACCCTACACACACACACACACACACACACACAGACAGAGGACACACACACACACAGAGATAGAGACGGAGACACACAGACATACACAAAGAAATACACACAGAGAGAGACACAGACACACATACAAAGAGAGAGAGAGAGATAGAAAGACAGACAGAGAGACACACAGATAAACACAAATACATAGACACAGACACACAAAGAGACACGCACAAGACACAGACACACATCTCTCTTTCTCTCTCTCTCTCTCTCTCTCTCTCTCTCTCTCTCTCTCTCTCTCTCTCTCTCTCACACACACACACACACACACACACACACACACACACACACACATTATAGACTATGACAGCACATATGTACATTCTCCAGACCTTAGCTCCACAACCAACAGGGAAATGATTTAGAGCACATTGCTTAGACCCTGCACTTGGCTTCTTTACCCGGTCATGGCAGGATAACTGAAACACCAGTCTCACAGAGATGCCATGAGGATTGAATACGTCAACACTCATTAAAAACAACCACTACCGCAGCAGGGCAGTGCTCGGTGCACTGGGCACTGTACAGATATGTATAAACAGGCCTTGGGTTTGAACCATGTTGCTCGGTGTCTGCAGACCCCAAAGTCCTAGAGACATTGTGACGGTTTCCATCTACACCACATACACTCCGTGTTTCCCAACATGGCCAAAATATTCCAAAATCTGTAAAACTTTTCTTTTCAGTGTGAACCACAGTTACACAGTTAAAACTCCTCTGTTCCTAAGTGATTTGGATGATTCTAGATTCGCTGCCTTGGTTGCCCTCTCTTGCCTCCAGACTGCCTTAATTTCCCAGGTACTTTCTGGGCCCCTCTGCTGGCCATTCCTTCCACGGAGGGGCTTCCCTCGATTCTCTTCTTCACCACACTCACATTCACTTTCATGGTGAAGTGGTCAGGTGGCTTTAGACCATTTCCTCCTGCAGAGTCTCTCAAATGTCTATCAGCCCAGAACAAAAGCCCAAATCCCCGAGTCAGGCCTTGTCCTGTGAGCGCAAGACCTACACTCTGCACAGATGTCTGAAAGGATCTTAAACTGAATGTGTCTGAATCCAAACTCCTGACCCTCCCCGTAGCTCCTCCCTGTTAGGCTTCCTGATCTCGTTAATAATATTCCCCCCTTCCCCTGCTCCTCTCACCACCAATACACATCTTATCATTGCTTCACACACACCTCCTTTTTGAGGGAGGGCATCACTCTCTGCTCAGCTGGGATTGACCTCTATGCTGTCCTCCTGCCTCAGCCACCCAAGTACTAGGTTTATAGTCCTGAGCCTGGAAAGTCCCTTCAACATTGACAGTCTGGCCATCACCTCCAACAATGCTCTGGCTCCTGTGAACGCTCCCGAGTCCCAGAATGCCCCCTTATGTTTCTGCTTCTGCACTCATCTCACTCAGCGTCCTCCTACAGCAGCAGGAGAGACAGCCTAAAAGACAGGCATGTCAATATTTGGTCCAAACCCTTCCAGTCACTTCTCACCTCACTCAGAAACACCGAAGTCCTTACAATTACATGGCCCTACCTAACCTGAGTGGGCCATCTGTCCGACAGCTATCTGATCTCATGTCCTTCTACCTCCCCCGCCCCGACTCTTCATCTTCTGTCTGGTGACATGTCTCAGCTCTCAGGCTGTCCCTTCCTTACTTTGCAGCTCTGTTCCAAAGCATGTGGTCCCTCACACGCCTTTGAAAATCACAGGTTACACCTGTGCGGCATCTATTTTGCTTCCTTGCTACATTTTTTAGTACAAGACTGATCTTCTAGGTCCTGCTGGTGTTGTTTGCCCTGTCAGAACACTCATTTTCTCACTGCTATGAGAATTTAAGCTCTGTGAGTGGGAGTTTACGTCTTATCCCTTCACTGCCGCCTCCTGGTCGCACAGTGAGGGCCTTACACACAGTGGGCATCCCGTAGCGAGTGGCAGCTTGGATGGGAATACTAGCTATTTGGCTCCTCTTACCTAAGACAGTCATCACCGTCTTCATTAGCTTCATGGGAGCCCTCCGGCGGCTGATGGAGCCGCTCGTGTGTGGAGACAACACGTTGGTTTTCCTCTTGACGTACATGTAGATGCGCACATACACCACCACCATGATGAAGAAGGCCAAGAGGTTTGACACGGTCCAGAAAACGAGGTAACTCCTGCTGTAAATGGGGGCCAGGGAAGAGCAGGCAGAGATGTTGCAGATGCAATTCCAGCCCAGTGTGGGGACCGCGCCCATGAAGATGGCAATGGCCCACACCAACAGAATGAGCAGTGTCACCCTCTTTTTGGTCAAGTTGCTGTGGACCCGCATCCTCATGATTGACATGTGCCTTTCCACTGCAATAACCAGCAAGTTGGCCAGAGAGGCAGTCAGGCTTGCGTCCAGGAGCCCCTGTCGGAGAAACCAGCGGTTGACAGTCAAAGTTTTGGACACGGGGCCGGTGTTAAACATCAGAAATACGTAGGCGATTCCAGCAAAGAAGTCTGCGGCAGCTAAGTTAGCCAGCAGGTAGTAGAAGGGAAAGTGGAACTTCCTGTTTGTGATCACTGCTGCGATGACCAGGGAGTTAGAAAAAAAGATAAAGAGGCAGAAAAATGTCCCGACACACAAGACGATGACAAGCTTCGTCCCCGTCCACTCGTCGGCTGTGTCCGCGTTGCTCTTGTTGTAAAAGAAGTCCATCCGCTTGTCGTAGTGACACTCATTCATCGTGGAGAAGAGCTGCACATCCTGGGAAGGAAGGAGAAGAAGACAGACGTCACTCAGTGACACCAGGCCACCCCTCCTCCAGGTGACTCCTTTCAGGCTCCTGGGTCTCACTGTAAACGCCCCTGTGCCTGTACATTCCCTCCTGACTCCTACCGCAGGGCATCGCCTGCGTGCAAGCTGTTCCCCAGGGTCAGCTGAAAGTTCAGGGAGGGGACGCCTGTGTTTCCTTTATTCACACCAGGATCCAGAGGCTCTGCCTGCTCACAAAGGGTCATCGAACAGCTAGCTAATAAATGAATGGACGATCAAGGAGGCATCAATATGTCAAACGTGCTGTCTCATAATTTCCGCTCTGCACCAGTGACAGCAACAACATAGCACAAATCATTAATGAGTGTTTTCTGCTGGGAGCATCCAGGCCATTCCTTATTCATGAGTTCTGTTCAGTAATCAAAAGCAGGCTTGTAATGCCAGGCATATTCTTGCCAAGATAATGCTATTGAATTACTCTGCCAGGGCCAAATGCCTCCTCCAAGAGATCACTTTCCACACCTCCAACTCCAATCTTGATCATTCTATCAGCATCATTTAGTTTCAGGCTACAGTTACAATCACTTATTAAGCATATGGTGTAGGGAGGGAGACTTTGGTCTCACACCCCTCCCTGACCTTCTTGTTCGCTGCTTCCTCATAGTCACCCATTCTAATGGTACCAATGTAAATATGTACGCTCGGTTTTCCATTCCAACCACCTCAAGTCGGTCACTTCCCAGGAGACTCTCCAACCCATGGGTGATTGAGGACAAGGCCTTTACAGGTGCCATTGACATGTAGGGTTTGTGCAGATACCCAACCCAATGCAAAAACTAGACTCACTTAGCAAGTGAAGGCAAGTCCTCAAGACTTGTGTGGAAGGGGGCACCGAACTGTGATATCAGGCTTGCAAGGATGACACTGGTCCCTCCCAATAGGAGATTGAGTATGACATTTCAAAAACCAATGGAGTTGAAGCCAAGATTCTAACTTCCGGTTGGAAGGGCTATCAAATCCCCCACAAAAAAACAAGGCTGGGGTTTATTCACTGAACCACAGGCTCAGTAGACCTGAGAGTTGAGCTGTCTATCTTTTGGAATGAAGTCTGTGTAACAGGGAAAATATAGAAGAAATCCCAAATTTTGAAACTTCCTGTAGATTCTGGAATCTGATACCACACCGGAGTAGAGATTATCAGCCTAGACAACGATTTTAAGTAGTATAAAGCACAGCTCTATCTTAGTCTGCTTCTCAATTTATATTTTAATTGTATAATGATATCTTAAAGTAAATTAAATATTTGCTTTGTCATTGTGAGATAAAATACTCACTTGATATACTTAAATTTCGTTATTTTAACAGCTTTTTTACATCCTGTTATATGTCCTACTTAACTAACGCCTAGATTTGGACACTGAGGTTTTTCCCAGTGTTTGACCTTTATAAGCAATTAATCTTTATATACATGGCCAACTATAGGAGTAATTCTGTTTTTCAGAATGAGGTAGAGGATATCACTGTGTCTGACGGTTTCTACAGATCATGTCAAACTGCTTGAAAGTGATTGTATTTCTAAGTCTACCAGCACTATTGAAAGGTTTAAAGAAAATATTAATTAGTGCAATTCAATTAATTGCTCAAGGAGAAAATTAAGTGTTCAATGATGCTAAAATTATATACAGATGCAGGACAACGTGAGGAGCTCACTCTGTGAATGGTCTGCTGTGTCATCCCAAATCAATCGGGACCTCACTGTGGAGGCAGCATCACTCTGCCTCATCAGTGGACTCCACCCCATGAAAGACCGTTTGGGATTCTCTTCCGTCATTTCACCGTTTGAGAAACTACAACAAAGCTCCATTTATAAATCAGACTCAGCCTTCCCCAGACACCAAATCTGATGGTGCCTCGATCGTAGATCTTGGACTTCCCAACTCCAGAATTGGAAGAAATCAACTCTGTGTACAGACCTAGTTCAAGTTACTTTGGTTCTAGCCACAGGAATTGACCCAAATGCCACATGAGAACTTTTAATGATACAATTACACTGTCCTTTTGATAATTAAAAATGATTTACATATTTTGTTTTGTTATAGACTCTAGATAGCTAAGAAAAACATTTTTCTAATTTAAATGTAATATTACTCCTGAGTGATTTATTAGAAATATTATGTAGAATGTTAGAATTCAGATGTTTTTAAAGTTTGTTGATTTTTTTTCTTATTTTTTTAAAGAGATGTTAGATTTTTAGTTTGGGTTGTTATATTTGGTCAACTCTGTGATTGTGTGAGGCACTAAGGCCTTGATGATTGATACTTCAAAAATCTTCAAATTCTACTTTTCTTCCATAAGAATTAAGCTGTATATTCCTGAATTTTTTTTTTTTTGAAAAATTGTTATGAGACTAAGGAGTCATTTTTTTGTCTTAAAAAATGTTGAGCTGTCACAGGGAAACTATGATTAGCAAAATTTTCACTAAGCAGATCTCTTCCCCTGCACAAGATTCTACATCTGGGAGAAACAGAATGGGAGTAACACAGTTCATACCATGAGTTAGTTTAAAGCAAACAAAACAAAAAAACCAATATGGATTATCAAGCAGTAAGTGCAAATCATGCCAGGAAGTTGTGTAGCCCTGGCTGTCCTGGAACTCATGCTGTAGAGCAGGGTGACTTCAAACTCAGAGATCTGCCTGCCTCTGCCTCCCAAGTGCTGGGATTAAAGTCGTGGGCCACCACTGCCCGGTGTTGAAAGACTTTTAAACAAGAGTTCATGGATTCTGTGTCCATTCTGTTTTCAGTTGTACATCAATTGAAAAATCAGCTTAAGGTTCAAAGGCAAAGCCTGGGAGACCTGCATGTACTCAGTTGACCTGCACCAGCTCAGTTCACTTGAGGTTTTTCCACAGAGAACAAACTTGCGGTGATTTTTGTCTAAAAACTTCACACCCCCTAAGACTTTCCACACTGACAGCTGATGCAGCTGGACCCGGCCCTCACCAATTCACCCATGAGACTTCCTGCCATCTCACCCTGTCTTCTACATTTGCTACCAAGCTTACTGATGGTTCCCAGGGCAGATATGTTACTGTAATTTCTAAGCTGGAAATCACCAAAAATCCTAGCCAGTTTATAACTAATGACCAACTTAGCATTTCTTGACCTCTCTCAGCCCTTACAACATGAATCTGTGATTTCAAAGAAAAATTAACGTGTCATTTCACTCCTAGCCTACAGTGTTCTCTGCAAGATACTGCTGAGCAATTCAACTTGCCATCACTTTGGACGTGTGAGGGCCACGTTTGAGCACTTGTGCAGATACCTTATGGACTATTCAATGCCTAGGCTTTTCTTCCATATTGAGAAGGAAACACTGGTGTCCAACTCCTATCCCAGACCATCCTGCTCCAACAGCGCAGGGACCTGTCTATTATGCTCACCCTGATAGTGGTGGATTTGATGAACGAACAAGTGACCTTTGCCCTCTGCTATGTCCCACTCCCCTAAAATGAAAAGTCCGGAGTTAAGCAGCTTTGCTGACTTACACAACAGGCACTAAGCAAAACCGGGGAGTTCCATCACTTATTAACTCCGTGTTCCCAGTGAGTTAATCTCTCCACTCCAGTCTAATTTAATTGCTAATATTAAGTGTGCACCCCGGGCCAAGAGCTAGACTAAGCATTTTACATGGATCACTTCATTTCATCTTCCCAACAGTGATGCGCTGCCATTTTGCAGAAGAGGGAACACAAGCGCCTGTGAAGGCCACAAGGCTGAGAGGCAGTTGACTCTATTCGGGTAGCTACCCCATAAACCCACACTGCACTGTGCTTCCCCTCCTTAGGCAGAGCCAACACCAGGCAGAACTGTGAACTCTAGTGAGATGTTTGACAATGGCCATATTACTGAAAAACAGATGATTTGCTCAAATCTCGTTCAAAGACTGCCCCGCAGTATAAAACACAGATGGACACTCTAAACAGCCTTTGGTCCCCTCATTCCTCTTTTAAAATAGCCTGAGGTGGCGGGGGAGACCTTTCTTTCCCCTGAAAATGTTCAGTTTTTACAGTACATGTGAAGCAGTACAGTCACACTGACGTGCTGACTCTTAACTTCTCCCACATCTGGGCTGATGTTTGTGTTTATACTGAAGGTTTTAGAGGGTTTAGTAGTTCTGACCCAGACACAGGAGATGCTAAACCTTAGAGTGATGACCACAACTTGGAACTCCAGTAATGTAAGACTTCATAAAATGGTGGTTTGGGAAGTCTATATGCGGAACCCAAATGAAAACCTGACGAGCAAAGCGTTCATTTACATTCTCCCCAACTTGTTTCTCTGAAGGAAAAAAGATAATCAGGCAACTTGGAATGTGGGAACAATTATGGAAATGAAGTCATCAGGAAACCACTCAAGTGGCTTTTATTTCTAGCTCCATCTTCAGAGACGAGTCGCTGCCTGGCTTTTCAGCAGCATGCCCCTCTTCCAGAAGGACGCGGGGTGCAGAGAAGAAGGGTGACGGCTGCTGTCTGGATTGTCTCTTGCTGTGGTTCACGAACACAGCACAACCCTCTCCCAGTCAGAAACCTCATCTCGGTGGGAGTCGAATCTCAGTTTAGTTGCTGACTCGGGAATGCCTGCACAGGTTGTCAGTGAACAAACTGGGTTCAATAATTCATGTTAATGGCAAAGAAGGACAGCAAGAATGATTTAAAAGCACCTGTAATCCCTGGAGTTCACTTTAGCCATTACCGTCTAAGCCTCCACACCTTCTATTCCATCTCTGCATCCACCTCTTTCCTCACGTACCCCCAGGACTCATATTTCTGCCTCATTCCTGTGCAAACATCACTCCATCAGACATCTCTTCCTCGTGGCCCTCTAAGGGGAAACAGCCAACAGGCTGCACTCGGGCCATCTACCCTGCTCTGTGAATTGCACCATCTGACAATCTAGTTGGGGTCCTGGATGCTGCTCTCTCCAGCAAGA